AACACAGCCCCAGGTGCAAACGACACACTCTTCGCGGACGGTCGCGCGCCCGAATATGGCGTAGGCGGGCTCGGCGCCGCCGCAGCCTCTGCCACCGCACTCGCCATCGCCCTCCCCCCCCACGCTCCCCAAACTCCCCGTCGACGCCCCCGCACTCGGTAAGCTCCCCACCCCGCCCGTCCCACTCATCCTTCTCCCCATCCCGAGCCTCGCGGGCGCAAACACCTCCCCGCCTCCAATCCGCGCCTCCACGCGCCTGAGCAAGCCGAGCTCGCCGGGATACACGAAGAAGCTGCGGCGCTTCGCGACCTGCAGCTCGAGGTACGCCTCGGGGAGGCGCAGGCGGCGCACGGCCATGAGCAGGCTCAGCGCGAGGGGCGAGCTCTCCGTGTAGCCGTCCGAGCTGTAGATGAGGATCTTAAGCGGGCGGCTGCGCGGGGGTGCGGCTGGTGCCGGAGACGGGGAAGGCGAAGTAAGCGAGCGCATGCGCGGGGGCGCGCCGGGTAGGGGCGGGGGTGAGGGGAAGAACGACGCGGGAGACACAGCGGGGAACGTCGACCAGCGGCGCGTATCCCTGGGGGTCGTAGTCGCGCTGTCGACGCTGCTGCTGCTGTTATGACTGGGGCTCCGCGGCGGTACGGGACGCAGACACCGCTCGAGGAACGCAATGACGGGCAGCAGCGCGTTCATCGTCTGCGCCGTGTTCGCCGGCGCGCTGGGGAACGGCAGGTGGATCACCGCGGTCGCGTTCGGCGGCGGCCGTACGGGCGTCTCGCCCTCCCCTCCCAGCGCACGCACCCGCTCCTCCCACATCCCCTCCAACAGCGCTAAATGGTCCTCCGCCGCGCGCAGGTGCGCGAGGCTCGGGAACGGCGCCATCTCATGGCACTCCACACACACATCGTACCCAAACCCGTCCCTCGGGTCATTCGTCCCCTCATACATGAACGGATCGTCGTGGCCCTGCCCATCGACGCCGCCGGTCCCGTCCCCGCCGAGCGGCACGTCCCCCGAGTTGCCGAGGAACACCTGCCCGACAAGCGGCCGCCAGTGGCTCGCCGTCGTCGTCGTCGCCAGGTCCTCCCGCTCCCCGTCCCCCTCCGCGGTGTCCTCAGCGGCAGACGCTGCGGGGTACCGCGTCGCGCCGGCAGACGGGAAAAACGCTCAGAATCTCGCTCGCCCGCGTCAGCTCGCGCATCTCGTCCCGCTCGCGCTGCCCAAAGTCGACCGTGTTCGGTGCGCGCGTGGCGTCCGCGTCCGGGTCAATGGGGACTGCGACGGGTGCGTCGCTAGGGCTGGTTTTCTCGTGTCCGTCGACCTCCATCGAGTGGGGATGGAGGGCGGGGTTCGCGATGAGATTGCCATTGTGCCACCGCCGCTCGCGCTCCCCGCCTGGGAACACGCGCATCATGAGCTCGGGCACCGCCTCGCGCAGCGCGCGCGCGTCCGCGTCCAGCACGAAGACGTTGTACTCCAGCGGTGCGACCGCATCGGGACCATCTGGTCACGCGAGCAAACGTCAGCATTGGTTTTTTGCGTGAAAGAAACACGACTCACCCAACCCCTTGCACCTTTCCTTCCTCTTGCGCTCCACCGCGCCCACAAAGCGCTTCGCCAGCTCCTGCAGCGCGCCCGAGGCGAGCCCGCGGGGCGAGTAGAGCACGATGTCCGAAAGGGTGGCGTATATCGGCTATAAAAAGGACGGGAGTTAGCGAGCGGTAGCGATGTAGTGTGGGTAATGTGGGGGCGGGTGAAGGGGGACGTCGGGGTCCCGCGACTGCACGTTCGCGCCGTTTCGTCGGATGTCCAACGCGAAACGTCATCCATCCCCCGCCTCCCCCCACTCCAAAACATAAACGAAAAACCAACTCACCACCTGGATCCCGAAATTCCTTAACGAAATCCCGTCCGGCACGCGCGCCGGGCGGAACTCCCACTCTTCCTCCTCCTCTTCCTCCTCACTCTTCTTCTCCTCGTTCTTCTCTCCCTCATTCTCAGTCGACGAGGACGGTAGCGGCACGGCCCCGTTGGGCGCGTGCAGCGCGGCGCCGTTGAGGCGCGGGAGGGGCGGACGCTGGGTGGGAGAGGTGGGTTAGTGCTGTGTTGATACGGAATAAAATGACGAGAAAACAGAAACACCGAAGCAGATGCGGGTATCCCATCACAGGTGTGGCACGGGGGCCGGAGTACAACTCAGAAAATAGAAAAGAATGGATGCCTGCCCTGCCCCACGGCAAAGCCGGGAAACGATAGACGGAGACGGCGAACTCCAAGGCTGGTCCACCGCACGACGCACGACACCGCCCCGTCCCACCCCTGCCCCGTCCCTATTCTTGAGGTCGGACACGACGGGGAAAAAAGCGCACACGACCAGGCCATAAGCGTCACCGCACAAAGACCGGGTCCCGCCGAAATAGAACCAAGTCCGCAGGTGCACACGACCCCACCCAAGTCCAACACGCCTGGACCACCCCACCACTGAGCCCCAAGTCCGCGCACACGACCCCCACCCGCCGATCGTCTCTACGTGCAGCTGCGACTCGCCCCTGCCCCCAGTACCACCCAACGCCCACCCAAAACACCCGAGAGGCACAAAGAGCAAAGCGCCAAAAAAAAAAACCAAAAACCGCAAACCAAAACCAACGCACCTCCTTCCGCGCAACCCCCACCACCCGCCGTATCAGCTCCCGCGGGCGGAACGTGCACGTCAGCAGCGGGGGGCCTTCGTGCTCCTGCTGCGTCTCGCCGTGTAATTCATGTTCCGCCGTCGGCGGAGACGGCGCTTCGCTCGCGGTGTCGGGGAGGGCGGCGGGCGAGGGCGGGTCGGGCGAGGCGGAGGACGCGGAGGCGGAGGCGGACGCGGAGTACGCGCTGCCGGAGGAGGAGTCGGACCCCGCGTGCGACGGCGGGGGGAGGGCGCTGAGATGGGATGGTCGTCAGCATTGTGCGTTTTTACGGATAGAGATAGAGAGTGGGGCCGAGGGAATGGAGATGAGATGAGATGAAAGGGAGAAAAATGGGAAATGGGAAATGGAGCCGAGCGCGACGCAGCGATCGTGGCGGACTTGCATCGCTCGCCGACCCACGCAGTGCTCCCGCCAGGCGGCGCCTCGGGCAAGAGAGGCAGAAACGCCAACCAACGCGGGAGCGCGCGACGCCACCGCCACCGCCACCGCCACCGCCAAGGCGCGGGTGGGTGCACGGCACAACTCAGACCCAGACCCAGACCCAGACCCAGATAGCAACCAGAGGCGAGGATGAAGGGCGAAATCGAAATAAAGACAAATGGATACGGTGTGGGTTTCACGAAATGAGATAGATATCGAGATAGGTATCGCAAGAGCAACCGCGAGTGCCCACACAACAAGGGTAGAAACCCGCGGGTGCGGGAAGTGCACGTTATGTAACGTCCCGCCGTCCCGCGCCCGCCGTGGCCAGTGCAAGACAATGCCGAGTGACGAGCCAAGACAACGCCCGTCGAGCCAAGAGAACGAGAACGAGAAACAAGGACTCACATTTCCATCTGCACGTCCGAGTCGTCGGTGCTGCAGCCCGGTGCGCTGAGCGGGAGGCCCGTCGTCTGGAGGCGGTGGTGGACGGGGTGCATGTGCTTCCCGTCTTCGTCTTCGCCCCGGTCTTGCTCTTGCTGGGAGTGTTGATGCTGGTCCCCAGCGTCGACAATGCGCACTCCGTCGTCCGCATCCACATCCATGCGCAACTCATCCTCCTCCTCCTCGCTCTCCTCCTCATCATCGCTCTCCTCCTCGTCGAACTCGTCCCCGTCCTCCCTCCTCAACAGCGGCGCGGCCGCAGGCGCTGACTCCAAATCCTCCTCCGCAACAACCCACACGAGCCCCCTGAACCGCGGCACCACCGCCCGCCGCCCCCGCCGCCCTGCCCCAGTCCCCTTTCCCTCGCCATACGCCCCGCCCGAGCTGAAGAACGTGTTCTGCGCGACGTTGTCGCCCTCGAGCCCGTGCAGGAAGGGGAACAGCACGCCGTCGGGCGCGTGCGCGAGTGCGTGCGCGCGGTGCATCGCCGCGAACTCGGCGGCGGATATCGTGTGCCAGGGCTTGCCCTTGTCATTAGAGGAGGCGCGTACGCCCATTATGGACGGGGGGTGGCGCAGCCCGTGCTCCCCGTCGTGTGGATTATGTGGAGAATGTGAAGGCGGGAGGGCGGGCTCGTCCATCGCAGCGACGACTTGGTCGTTGCAGCTAGAAGGCAATTTCCTTTTGCGGATCGCTCTTCCCCGCTGATGCCTCGTGCTCCGATCAATCCCCGCATCAGAAGTCCCAGAAGCGTATGTGATGCTTCCTTTCATCCGTCCCTTCTAGAACCCGTAAATTGAATCAATTCAACCCTCCTCTAAATTTCATCCGTTCAACTATCTACTCCACTCCTATCCGGAAAATCTCTGGTCCCTGGTCTCTGTCTCACCCAATTCAATCCAACTCAATTCAATCGTCCGTGGGTCCGCCCGAACATTCACCCCAAAATGAACTCAATTCCGCCTGTCAGCACCGTGTCAATCAGTACGTGAGTGAACTGATGGATGCCCGAGCTAGCACTATTTCGGGGTCGATACGGCGACACACGGTATGGCGTTGCCCTGGCAGGCGTAATTCTAATTAGTAATGGCATACTCTACGAGCCCGAGGGAGGCGGACGGGATGAATATTTTAGCAGCTGTTCAATGTCGGGCGTCATAATCGACTGCGTACCCCGCTCCCCGTATTCCAAAACTAGAATCCAAGAGCCCAGACGGTTATCTTGTTCATTTTACGCGCACCCGCTCTCAAAGCCAGGCCAAGAACTAGACGCAACAAGGCTCGGTCGCGGACGGTCCGCATCTGCTCTCAGTTCGTGGACAGCGTGATTATGCAGACACCGCCTGTTCGACTCAGGCCCGAGCCTTCATTCATCTCATACCTCGATGTTTTTTCGTGCCATTACTCTCAGAGGACTACACTACACGAGGTCTTGAGTAAGCAGAATAAGGCTCGGTAGCGGAGGGTCCGCATCTGTGCTTCATAACGAGTAACAATAGTTATGCAGACATTGCCTGTTCGACTCAGGCCCGAGCCATTCAATTGTGTCATTGATTTTTTCTGCTGTTTTACACTCAGAGGACTACACCACATGAGGTCTTGAGTAAGTAGAATAAGGCTCGGTAGCGGAGGGTCCGCATCTGTGCTTCATGCGCATGTTGAAAATAGCTGTTATGCAGACACTGCCTGTTCGACTCAGGCCCGAGCCATTTCACATCGGTGAGCATATTTTTTTCCCTGTCCATTTGAATTCACACTCCCTTAGATTCGAGTCGAGCGAAACAAGGCTCGGTGGAGGGTCCACATCTGCTTCCTGTAGTGTTTCTTGCAGGAATGTCCATCATGCAGACATTGTCTGTTCGATTCAGGCCCGAGCCGTGATTTTTTTGCCCCTGTTTTTCATTCATCTATCCCTCATAAATTCCAGTTTCACACTCACTTAGGTTTTGAGTTAGCTGGAACAAGGCTCAGTAGCGGAGGGTCCGTATCTGCTTCATATGCATGTTTCAGCTTCCTCTTGTGATTATGCAGACACTGCCTGTTCAACTCAGGCCTGAGCCATTCAGAATCTTCATCCTTGCCATCTTTTTTATTTATTTATCACCCTCAGAGGACAACACTACATGAGGTCTTGAGTAAATAGAATAAGGCTCGGTAGCGGAGGGTCCGCATCTGCTTCATATGCGTTGAGACAATGAATAGCTGTTATGCAGACACTGCCTGTTCAACTCAGGCCCGAGCCATTTACATCGCTGAGCATTTTTTTTCCCTGTCCATTTGAATTCACGCTCCCTCAGGTTCGAGTTTAAGTGAAACAAGGCTCGGTAGGGGGTCCATGTCTGCTTTCTGTAGGTAATTCTTATGGAAACATCCATCATGCAGACATTGTCTGTTTGATTCAGGCCTGGGCCATGTTTTTTTTTTGCCCCTGTTTTTCATCGATCCATCCCTCATAAATTCAAATTTCACACTCACTTAGGTTTTTTTGAGTTCATTGGAACAAGGCTCAGTAGCGGAGGGCCCGCATCTGCTTCACATGCATGTTCTGATTCCTCTTGCAATTATGTGGACATTGCCTGTTCAACTCAGGCCCGAGCCATCCCTCGTCCTTTCCATCTTTTTTATTTATTTATTCATTACCCTCAGAGGACCACACTACAACTTGGAATAAGACTCAGTAGTGGTGGTCTGCACCTGCTGTTTGTTCATCAATGCAAGTGACATCCATTATGCAGACACTGCCTGTTCAACTCAGGCCTGCGTCATTTGGTTCTGATTTTTTTTCTTTCTAACGGCTGCCCTCAATAAATTCACACTCAATTAGGTGCAGACTACAGTGAAATAAGACTTGGTAGTGGAGGGTCCACATCTGTGCTTTATGCGACAGCCGCCAAAAATGCAGTTATGCAGACATCGCCTGTGCAACTCAGGCCCAAGCCTTGATCTTGTGGGTTTTGATTTTCTTTTTTTTAAAGTAATTACCCTAAGAGGATCACACTAGTTGAGCGAGGTCTTGAGTTAGGATAAGACTCAGTATAAATTATACCGGTGGGGCCCCTTTCGGAATGTACTGGGTGTCGCTACTAAGACATGCAGTCTCACAGATGTACTTCAACTATGCCTCTATCCAGCAACTAGCGATGAGCTGACCCCACTCCATGGGGCTGTAGATCGCTAGCCACCATGTAAAAGCTTGCAAGGAATCTCACTGGACATATCTGAGTATCTACACATCATCCAGCCAACACAGTGGATCTATGTCGAAGATTGTAAGGATGTCAGAAGTGCACTCCACGACTTGACAGATAGTATCCCTTTGGAATATGATAGGTTGTGGTGTTCCAAGGCCCAATGCTGAGAATGCATGGCTCGTGGCCTGCATCCCCCCAATAAAGCGGTGCCAGCATTCCATGACAGCAGGAGAAGCCTCACAAAACAGGGTGTGCTCCACTGTCTCAACTTTGTTACACCTAAAGCAACACAGTTGTCAGCACATCCTCACGATGATAACACTGCTTATACTGCATCCTCTCCACTGCCAGCAGGTGCTGGCTAACCAAGAGACATGTCAAAGCCTTTCGATGTCTTGAATTAACCACCAGTTTCAGATAGTGGCAGAGGTGAACAGTCAGTGTTTTGGGTGGTTCATCCTCGAGCGGCTCTTTGCGGTCATGAAGAACATATAGCCGTGCCAATTTGCTCAACTCCATGTCAAGAAACCTCATGGCAGCAGCATATACAGCCTTGATGAGTTTAGGTGGAATAGGGCTTGGTAGTGGAATGTCCACATCTGTTCTCCATCCAACATCTGTTCCGGTTATGCAGATATTGCCTATTCGACTCAGGCCCAAGCCATAGTTCCTTGTATACATTTTGTTTTTGCATGTCCATTCGAATTTGCGCTCACCCACATAGGTTTTGAGTTAGTGGAATAAGGGTTGGTAGTGGAGGGTCTGCATCTGCTCACTATGCTGTTGTATAATGTGTTCACAGGTCTTATACAGACATTATGTCACGATTTGATGACAATCTTATTGCTTTAATGCCTTATCGAAGCACTCAAGAACAAGCACCCAACTCCAGATGTTAGCTGCTGACTATGCCTGGGAGGCAGTTCTCAACTATCACACCTTATTTTTCAATTATTGTATCCGCAAAATGGAGGCTTCCGGTGTTTATTCCATGTGGTCTGGGCCTGACATATCCCTTCTGGGCACTTGTGTGTATCCATATTGCTCCTCATCATCCCGGGCATCCATAGTACCTGTTGCCTCTCAACGGCCACGCATCTGCCACTTTCTGTGTTCGATACGAGCCAGTGGTGCCGCCTGCATACCCAATGCCGTCACCCATGCACATCAGCAGCTCAACCACTCGAGCTGTTGTTCCAACATGTCAACCCCACATAGGTTTTGGCAGGATGAGGAATCATTATCATTGTCACTCAGAGGCAGTTTAAGATCCAGGTGCTCTAATGGATTGTCTGTCTCATTCGAATCCTATACCACCAATGAGTTACTATCTTACTATTGAATCAATCCAACAATCGGAATGTGAAACCACGCACCCAAACAACCAAGATGGATTGAGTGCTATTCTTGGCATACTTTTTTAACAAATCGCCAACACAATCAATGTTTGTGTCATTGCCCGTTCCACAAGAAGGATCGGGAACCAATCCTAATGATGCAGCCAAGGGAGCGGCTGTCGTGTTTTCAGGCATGCAGGCATGAGTTTTGATAGCGTGCAGACGACGATGAGGCTGCGGTTGAGGGCACTGAAGATCTATTGATCATATAAAAGTGAGACAACAGTCTTTAATCCCGAGTGAATGAGGTGTATACAAACCACAGGAATGCAACCCTCTGCTCTCTCCATGCCGATAGGACTTAACCCAGGCTGTCTCAAAGAAGGCCATTCAGCATTCCCGGTAATATAAGTTACTGGGTCTTAGCGAGCATGATTTATAAATTTAGGCCATGCATCACATTTTAGTCATCTCGCCAACATTACACCACCATAGCCAATGAATTAAACCTGCTGTAATGGTACAGAGCAGGGCATAGTAAAATTCCGGAAAAGTCCCATGACCCCACATTTGAACCCCCCCCCCTGGTCAGATTCAAATATCAGATTCCCCGAATTCGTACAGGCATAGTTCTAGTTTTGGCAGAAAGCGGTGTTCGAGTGCAAGTGGACATTCAGAATAATATGCATATCTCTCTTGTCTTACATATTATCCAGGACTTGCAGCCAGCAGAGCCAGCAGGAGATGGCTGGGACTTCGTTGATCTTTGTCTCCTGAGAACCTTCAAGGGATCTGTACCTTCCTGCTGCTTTCCTGTCTGGGACGCAGTAAACTAGTGATCTACAGGAAGAGATACAGGCTAAGTACAATTCATGATATCAAATGAGTGAGCTTACATGTCGAAGTGAAGGTGAGGAGGAAACAAAGATCGAAAAAATCAATGATTCAAAGGTGTGCCAATGGAATTGGGAGAGCATTGCATCTGTTGGGATCAATTCTACCGTAGAGTCCCGCGTAAAACTCGGGTAGAATTGATGCGAGAGAAAAACGACAAAATGATTGGGGTAGAATCACGGCAGGGTTCGGCTTGTGTAAGGTATATATCTGTTGAAAAACAGCCAGGGCTGTGATACTGACTATGGGTTGAATGGGACGCTGGAACTTATTTTGGGTTGGATCCAAGCACCTCGCCGTATATTCAACAAACAAATCGTTCAAAGTATGGGTATTTGACTTGTTCTGATTAAATAAAATAAGGCCATGACACATGCAAAGATGTCTGCGGTAGCTAAGGCAGAATTTGACATACTTGAAACCAAGAAAAAACGAAATTGGGGCTTTAGGGACCTTTGCTGATATTGAACTTCAAGTCTTGTCATATGCTGTATCTTGGAGCCTCACCATTTAACTACCAAATGCCAGACTCATCCCCAGCTGCGTGCTGCTGAGTGCCTGCCTTGAGATGAGGCAGAACCTTGTCGAACCTCGCTTCACCAACAGGAACATTGGCTACAGAGAATCTACTCGGCACTTGGCACAGTCCACAGAGTAAAGATCCATGTGAGAAATGTGTATTTCCTCCTCTTCAGCTGCAATCATAAGCTTTGGCTTGATATGTCGGTTCAGTCGTTACCGGGCTCTGCCGCTTGTCGGTCTTACAGCTTTATTGGTGATGATGTAGAGCATGTTGTTGATGGAGATAGATGAAACCGTTACGAAAAGAAGAATGAGATGGATAAGAGGGTGGTGAGTCTGCTGGAGATGATGAAGAACAGTACACTGGCAAACTAGTTTGCCAGTACTGCTTATGAGGTTATCAAGTCAGGAAAGTGGGATCCCATCATCATAGGAATATGGCAAGCAGGGTAACTACCTAGATCCTGCGGAGAGAAATTGCCATCGCAGAGTGTGCAGACGTAAAGCAGAATCCTGTCATTACTCATACTGGGTGACGCCTTTACTATGATAGGCCATCTGTTGGGTATACGAAAATGTCGGTGAAGAATGCGGAGGTATACATTGGTCGTAGGCACTTACTTTGCGTGGAGTTGCCCATGGGTTGCTTACTCCTTAACAAAAACTGTGTGTTCATTTGAAAACTTGAATGAAAAAAAAATTCATGGACACTTGAAAATCAACCAACTGTCTCCATGATGAGCGCTTTGGCACTTGGGGACCGTG